AAGATTATTGGAGTTGGTTTTACAAGAAAATACTATTTCATTCTTTCAAAATATCATGTTTAATTCAATGTTTTACTTGCCATTTCTATATAATTAATTGTGAAATTTACTAGCAGTTCATGAATGAAAATAGTTTCTACACCATTTTTTATTTTAGTGCATATTGTGCAGCTTTTAGAAACATATTTTCATTTAATTATAAAATGATAAAAAAAAACATAAATTGCACAATAGAAACCTTTCTGGACAATAAACACATTTCTAAAGCCTTCGTTTTTTCCCTCTCACATAGATGAACAGATAAGCTGACCACCAATTCCTGAACATCAAAGAAACTGCTTGTAGTGTTTAGCAAATTGACTGCGCAAATGCTTTCCCGCATCAGAAATAATGATGATCAATCAAATGGTGCTTTCTCAGTGGCTTGATGCATTAGAGCCATAAAATCACAACTTTTTTGCAACCATGTTTTAAAATCTTGATTTATAATAAACTGTACAATCAATTCCCTTCCTCCTTGTGTGTTATTGTGTTATTATTGTTGCTGAACAGTTATTATGTTGTTAATTCATACAAATACATAACAATTCCTAGATTGGCTGATAATAAACATCATCCCAAAACTGCTCTTCAAAACATGACACTGCGTTTTGTTGTTGTTGTTGTTGTTGTTGCAGTTAAACACCACTAAGTTCATACACAACAAAATAAACTCAGTTCCTATTTTGAAAAGCACTGATATTTTGTACCTTGAAAATATAGCTTCAGAAACATAGGCTGGTGATATCAGCAGTTCCCTCGGCTATCATCATTATAATAATAGCTGACAGACAGGCAGACAATGTCTGACTACAGGTCATTTTCTCAATAACCATCTTTCTCTATCTGTGAGGTCATGATGAAGTCTAGCCTGAGAGGGATTGGCTAAGCGCTAAGCCAGAGACCAAATAAAAGCCTGAAGACACATGTTCCAGAGCTAGTGACTCTACCAGCAGCCAAGGTGAGAAAGCTGGTTGAACATTTTTTGTGCACTGTAAGTGGTTTTGTTTCTATGTTATCATTCAGAACTAACACTCCTTCATGGGTCTTGACAGTCTTAGGTCAAGTCTTTGTTTGTGTAAGGTTGGTGAATCCATAAACATGTGGACATCTCTCCTGTGTCTTCTTCTGGCTGGTGCAGTATCCGCAGCACCAGTAAGTACACTTTAAACCTTTTCGTAGGAATGTCTTTGTAGTTATCAAGGCTTGTTTTATGTGTCTAGGTCGCCCAGATGCTGAAACTGATCCTTTTCCCCCCCATGTGTGTTTATCTCTCTCTCTAGCTTTCACCATTTTTCAATTATCTCCCTCATTATGGCAACCCAAAGCAGGTGGGGTTAACCACGCATGAACATTCTTGACTTTTCCGTATCCATAAACAGCATAACAGTCTTCGGAATCTTTTGCTTTGACCATAATCAACACATTGCACCCAGTTTCATGATGAAAATAGTTCTGTAATATTACACTGTTTGATGACATGCTACTCCATGACATGTGTTTATATGATTTATAGGTTTAACTGAGGTTGCTACAGAACATGCATTGAACATACTAATTATAACCAAACTAAACATGTTCTTTTTGGGCATCCACTAAAATGAACTTGAACTCCTTTCATTTGTATATTAGGGGAATAATGGTGGCTTCCAGGGAATACCATCACAGCCACATCCTGGTCTGAATGCTCCAATCAGCATGGAAATTGTATGATCTATTTTTTTCTATTTGTTTTTGCCTTAAATATAACAGTTCAAAGTGGTACCAGGATACCCTGTAAAACAGAGTTTTTTTTCTTTAGTATAATTGAGATACTATTACAGTTTTTATAATTTTTTTTCATGTATATTGGACATTTAAAATATATATGTGTATATAGACATATATTTTTTATAAGTTAATGAAACAATATGTGTATATAGTTTCATTAACTTTTATTTCAGTGTTAATTTATTTAGGCTATTTTAGTGCATGAGAACTGATGAACTAAATGAAAATAAGAAATGTTGCCTTGGCAACTAGCTGAAATAAAATAATTTTTAAAAATTTCATTTCAAGTAACAAAAATAGTTTCATGGTTTTAATTCATGGTACCACATATTTAAGATTACCTGAAAAATGTATAGTGTATGTATTGCTTTTATTAGGTTAGTGTACCTGATCTAACCCATAAAAATACATTTACTAGGTTAGTGTAACCTAATGTATCCAGGTTTATTGAGTCATGTTAAATATTCATTCATTAAAGTTAATTAAATTAATATATTTATTTACATTTTTTAAGATGGTATAAAATAAACAACAACAACCAAAAATTATAGTGTATGTGCTGTATAACATCCTATATGTATTATTATTGTTAATATTTATTTATTTATATTTTTATCAAATAGATTTTTCCTCCGCGATTCCCTGCTAGTCCAGTAGGGGGAGCAGCGGGCACATCGGTGAGTCAGTAAAGTTTTATTCTCTGCAAGCTTGTCTTTCCAAACACTTATCATCTACGCAGCTTCTTTGTTTGGTGCCTTTGTGATAAACTCAGCTCAATCAGATAAATCAATATATACCACGTGTGTATACCAAAAGAATAGTACATGATTACTACTATTATTCACGCTGTGGCATGACTCTCTCTGTGTGTTCTTTCAGTCATTCCCTACACAAGGGTTCATCAAGTACTCTCTCCCTAAAGCTCCCGGCAGAAAAAGCGTGGAAATCGTGAGTGAACAGACAGAAAGGCTAATTCAGCAAAGACTAGAGATGTTAAACTACACTCTGTATAAAGTCACTTAAGCACAGTGTTGCTTTAGCCTCTGCGGTTACATTTTATTTCGATAGTCCACTTTATACATTCTACTAACTATAAGTAACTTTGTAACTACATGTCAACTACATGTCAACTAATTATCATTAATTTGCAACTACATGTCTACTAACTCTCAGAGTAGATTGTTAGGGTAGGTTTAGGTTTAGTAGAATAAGTTGACAAAGAAAGTGTTAGAAGAGATTCCACTTTAGACATTCTACTAACTATAAGTAACTTTGTAGCTACATGTCAACTACATGTCAACTAATTCTCATTAATGTGCAACTACATGTCTACTAACTCTCAGAGTAGACTGTTAGGGTAGGTTTAGGGTTAGTAGAATGTTGACAAAGAAAGTGTTAGAAGATATTAAGCAGAAAATCTACTAATACTCTACTAACTGCTAGTTGACATGTAGTTGCAAAATTACTTACTGTTAATAGAATGTCTAAAGTGGACTATCGAAATAAAGTGTTACCGCCTCTGTTAATGTTTCATTAAATTACAGACATAATTGTCTGATGCAATGAAATAAATGGTGATTTTGTTTTTCTTTCTCCTTAAGTTTTACCCATATGACTTCAGTCAGCGCCAGGTAACGATTGTTTTCTCATTACATATAGGCTAGCTAATCCTTACAAATATTGATTTTCTTTTTCTTTTTCTGGGAGTACACTGAAAACTATTTGGTGTAGATTTGCTTTGAAACTGCAAAGGGAAAAAAAAAAAGCGTATTGTAACCCTTTGAATTAAACGTTAAAGCAAAAAAGTTAAAAGTAGCTAAAGTAAAAAGACAAAGTACTTTCTTGTAAAGCATACTCTTGTTTCATTTACAATTTAGAAAATTGCAACTACATGTCTACTAACTCTCAGAGTAGATTGTTAGGGTAGGTTTAGGGTTAGTAGAATAAGTTGACAAAGAAAGTGTTAGAAGAGATTCCACTTTAGACATTCTACTAACTATAAGTAACTTTGTAGCTACATGTCAACTACATGTCAACTAATTCTCATTAATGTGCAACTACATGTCTACTAACTCTCAGAGTAGACTGTTAGGGTAGGTTTAGGGTTAGTAGAATGTTGACAAAGAAAGTGTTAGAAGATATTAAGCAGAAAATCTACTAATACTCTACTAACTGCTAGTTGACATGTAGTTGCAAAATTACTTACTGTTAATAGAATGTCTAAAGTGGACTATCGAAATAAAGTGTTACCGCCTCTGTTAATGTTTCATTAAATTACAGACATAATTGTCTGATGCAATGAAATAAATGGTGATTTTGTTTTTCTTTCTCCTTAAGTTTTACCCATATGACTTCAGTCAGCGCCAGGTAACGATTGTTTTCTCATTACATATAGGCTAGCTAATCCTTACAAATATTGATTTTCTTTTTCTTTTTCTGGGAGTACACTGAAAACTATTTGGTGTAGATTTGCTTTGAAACTGCAAAGGGAAAAAAAAAAAGCGTATTGTAACCCTTTGAATTAAACGTTAAAGCAAAAAAGTTAAAAGTAGCTAAAGTAAAAAGACAAAGTACTTTCTTGTAAAGCATACTCTTGTTTCATTTACAATTTAGAAAATCATTCTTTATTTTACAGTGATGTTTTTTTTTTCAGGACCAACCCAATGTTCCCCTGATACCTCAAATTCCAAATGTAAATTCTTGAAATTGCTTCAACATTTTGACATTATTATTTTAAAAAAGTGGGAATGTTTGGGAATGTTTGTTTAAATGTGATATTTTATTTGTTTGTGAATATATAGATCTTCCCCTTTGATTTTATGCCACAGACAGTTCCTCTACAGCCACCTGTGGTGAGACAATTATGATATGAACCTGTTTGGTTTCATAATCACTTGCACTCTTACTGGTATTTGCTGAAAGACTTCAAAATCGGTGCGCTTTTATTGAATTTTTTACACAGAACCCACCATTCCAGGATGGTCCTCCACAAGCCCAAGAGCCTCAGCAGCAAACCCAGCTGGAGCAGCAGGCTCAGACAGGACAGGTGTGTGTGTGTGTGTGTATTTGAATGAATATGTGTGAGAAGCTAAAAACACAACCCTCAGTAAAGCTCTGATTTGACAAAAAAAGTGGGAATGTTTGGGAATGTTTGTTTAAATGTGATATTTTATTTGTTTGTGAATATATAGATCTTCCCCTTTGATTTTATGCCACAGACAGTTCCTCTACAGCCACCTGTGGTGAGACAATTATGATATGAACCTGTTTGGTTTCATAATCACTTGCACTCTTACTGGTATTTGCTGAAAGACTTCAAAATCGGTGCGCTTTTATTGAATTTTTTACACAGAACCCACCATTCCAGGATGGTCCTCCACAAGCCCAAGAGCCTCAGCAGCAAACCCAGCTGGAGCAGCAGGCTCAGACAGGACAGGTGTGTGTGTGTGTGTGTGTGTATTTGAATGAATATGTGTGAGAAGCTAAAAACACAACCCTCAAAGCTCTGATTTGACCATATAATTGCTCCTTCAGTGCTGCGTTTAGCCAGGATGTGTTTAACCAAAATGAAAACTTGCGAATCTTGTATGTCATCAGCAGTTTTGCAGAAACAGCAGATTATGCGGGCCACACACTTGTTAATTATCTACACTTTCTTTCAGGTGTCTAACAAGCCATGAAGACCGGTAAGACACCGCTTAGGTGTATCTGAATTGAATTCATTCATCCTAATTTTTAATTGCAACACGATAATTTTATAGTTTTAATACAACACTGTATGAACTCACTCTTTCATTCATGTTTAACATATAATTTCTTATGCGTGCAGGCACATCTTTGAAGCTGAGTGGGAAAAAGATGTCAAACAACAGTGTGTTACATTTTTTTGTCTAATGCTATTTAGAATTAGTACTTTTTCTGGAATAATAATTTAAAATGAGCTGATTTTTTAACATAAAGAAGATGATTTACCCATATGTATAATGACATTTTTTCAAGTTCTGTATGTGCATGTTATACAGTTTGAATTGTGCTGTTTTGGCCTTATTCTAATGTGAGAAAATTATACCTTAACTGAATATCAAACAAATGTCAATTCTGAATATTTTATCATGTAGGCCTTTTGTGAGTATAGTGTTTCAGTAATAAAGTCGATTAAACAAAACTTTATTTTTTATCTGCACTTTTTATCCTATTGCCAGCTGTTACAAAACAGGAGATGAAATTTGTACTGCATACTAATTAATTAAAATAATACAAAATATATATTTTTTCAACATTACAAAGGATCCCCTCCCCCAAGGATAAAGTAAAATATTTTGCATCTACACCTTGAACATTCTGCAGTACAATAAACATGATACAGCATGATCAGAATCATTAAATTCATGCTCGTTAAAACTTTAGTAGAGCAAAGACTTTGTTAGGCCATGTTCAACCTCGAGGAAGCTTGAAGATGTGTGAATATCAAATTAGAGAATTATTTAATTTGCTCATAAAAACAAAATTGAGAGAGCTTAAAGGGTAAACTATGAAAAGTTTTGCAGTTTCTACATGGAATGCCAGTTCATCAGGAATTCTAATGGTCTCTTTACATGACTGCAGAAATAAAGACACACTTATAAAGTAATAGACCTATACAGTACGTTAGCAATTAATCCATTCCTTTATATTTGCTCTGAGATACAGTATGTTGGTGCGTTGTGCAACAACATTTAATGAGATTTTGAGACATCTGGTCATTATCATAATAGGGTTTAATTAGCTTTGCAATTCTAATTCAGTTCTAATTACAAACACACACACACACACACACACACACACACACACACATACACACATTCTATGATATTTGCTCATTCTCAGCTCTACAAATATTTCTTGTAGTCTAAAAGATGCCATATCTGTTTATCTATTGTCTGAATATGGCAGCAATATCATATGATTTTAGATACAGTTATTTTGTTACTTTAAATATCTATGTCTATCAGATTAAACACATAACACCCATACATTTAGTTTTGTCAGTGATGTTAGTATTTTTGCCTCACGTTTTTTTCTATGGAGTAAAGTGTTTTATTTTGTGATAATAACTACATTATCATGATTATTAGAAGACTATTAAATAAGTAAATGAACATGAAATATTGAATCGTGGGAAATAATGAATTCTAAAGTATTTATTATTTAAAAAATACTGCGATTGGTAAGATATTTCTTATAAAACAATTTCATTAATTAAAAAATGAATAAAAAAAAGACTGACCTTAACATTTGTGAATCAATAACAGGTTAAAAAATGTAAAACTAGAGCTGAAGGTTCAAGAGCTGAAAAGATGTGTGTTAAAACACATAAATCTAGTCTTTTGAACAACCAGAAAGAAGAAACTTGACCCTGAGGAAACATCTTCAAATGTATATTTTCTAGAAGAATGAATGAAGGGGAGCCAGAGTATATGTCCTCTCTTGCCTGAATCTTTTGAGCGCAGCAAGTGGATATCTATAAACCTTTTATGTTCACATTCTTTATCAGATGGAAGACATCCTGGATGTGGATTCCCTAAAGCATAAGGCATATCAACCCTCCAATGCTCCAAACCATAGAGTGGGAACGCAGACGACAACAACACTAAAGAAGCTGCCAGTGTGGTCACAACAATGAGGAGCCAAAAGATTTACACCTACTGTATCTCCAAATGAATCAGCAAGAAATGGTGGATTAAGTCTGTAATTAAGAGTTCAGAAAAATGTGTAATATAAGCTTCATTGTGAAGATCTGTTTTAATTAGATCAATCATTTTAGCAGGCGCCCAGAAGTCTCACTCTCATGTGAAAAGGGGCCCCTTGAAATTCATATATATCCAAACTTCAACATCAAATACCACAGACAGACAACCCTCCTGTCTGGAGGATTGGGTAGATCATTTCATTTTTCTTCTGTCTTTTTGAAGAACTGTGCACCAAGCAGATTTTTTTTACAGGGTATAATTATACATAATGGGTCATTAACAGTTGTAATTCCAACCTTGTTTTAAGAATATGGGCAAAAAATAGATTTCCCTCTTTGCTGAGAGATGATTGGTTTGTTCAGGATCTGCTAAGTATATATAGCAGCTTTGTTCAGTAGTTATGCATTCAACTTTAAACTCCAAGAAGCCAGCCAGTTGTCCTTGTGATTCCCGAAAAGAGGTAAGCTCTTACCATTTCTAGAGAGTTTTAACTCATGTATATGTTAAACTCTCAAAAATAGAGGCTGAAAAAAGAACACTGAATACTGCAACAATGCTATCAAAGAATCACATTGGGTTCTCCAAAAAAAAAAAAAAAAAACTTTGAGAGAACAGTTCTTAAAAGAACAAATTTTCCTTAATATAAAGAACATTTTAATATTCCAAAGAACTTTTTTCTACTATAAAGAACTTTTTTTGTGGAATGGAAAGGTTCCATTGACGTTAAAGGTTCTTCATGGAAACATCAATGCAAATAAAAAAACCTTATTTTTAAGAATGCACTGACAGTATTTAATGTTTCTACAGTAACAAGTTTTGTTTGTTTTTCTTTTTGGATCATAAGAGCAAATATGAAAGCTGTGGCATTCTTGATGTGTTTGCTGGGCTCCTCACTAGCTGCCCCTGTAAGTCCTTGTTTCTCAGTTCAAGACAACATAACAGTCTAAAGTTTCACACATTTTTGACATCTTACTTTGCACATTTTAGGCCCCCGACAGTGGCAGCAATGAGGTAAGATCTCTGTGAGTCGATGGCAATGGATGTTAATGTGTGCATGGCTTAATATTTTGCATAATGCTTGTTGTGTTTTCTCTCTTGCAGCAGGCAATTATTAGTCATGCTAACACAGCGCTGCAGTTGATGGAACTCTACAGAATGTTTGGACATCTGCGGCAACAGGTCAGTTCAATGGCGCTAAAGCTAAAAATATACATTAGAAGCATTTAATGATAATAACATAATGTAATTGTCATGTTTTTGCAGGGTTTTGGTGCTGTTCCTACTGGTGCTCAACTGCCTGTATGTTAAAAATGTAACCACTTACAAGTCATTTGAATACTTTACTGTGTGAACTTGCCTCAGTAACCTGTTTCATTTTGTGTTCCTCACAGGCAGCACCTGCAGCGCCTGCACCTGTTGATGTAAACCCCTCTCATTCAAAATCAAAATCATATATCATATAACATTTTTGTGTTTTTGAGGATAAACAATAGCCTTTTGAAAACATTTTTGAAAATATTTCTCTTATTACAGGCCCAGCCTCAGGTTTCACCTCAAGCACCACAGCAGGTTAGCAACATGCTTTTGCCATTCTGGGTCAATGTCAGTCATGGCATGTTATACCATGTTATACCAGGTTGTACCACAGCAGGTTAGCAACATGCTGTCAATATTTTGAGTAATTATTTCTCTTTAGCATCTGTTTATGATGTGAAGTAGCATTTAGGGTACAACATACATACATTATACATTGATGTTTAGTTTGGTCTATTGAGTAGTTGCCAATGGCACTGTAGCTTTTAGCGTGGCTTTTTGCAAAAACTACAGCGTGGCAATACACTCTTTAAAATAAAGGTTCTGTATGGGGTCAATGATTCCATGAAGAAACTTTAACATCCATGGAACCTTTCCATTCTACAAAAGGTTGTTTGTAGTGGAAAAAAGTTCTTCAGACTTTTAAAATATTGAATGACACTAAGAAAAAGCAGTTCTTTTAAAAACCATTCACTGAAATGTTCTTTGGAGAAGCCAAAATTGTTCTTATTTGCATCGCTACAAACCCCCCTTTTGGAATCCTTATTTTTAAGAGTGTATTTGAGATCGGTAATACTGTAAGTACAGTATGTTGTGTTGACACTGATCTTTGAACATTTCTTTCAGGGCATTTTTTTCAACCCCGCTCTTTTCGCACCCACAGGAGATGGGTCAGATGAGGAAGGAGCAGTAGGTTATTTCATCTTGTCAAAATGGTTTCTCACATTTTCAAACATTATGTACTTTATGAGTTCCGTCCCACTTTTCTATCTACCCTAGCCGCAGTTTCGTGGGCTTTATCCTCCTTACGGCTACCAGCCTGCCCAGCCGGCTGCTCCTTTGAACTCAGATGAGGCAGAAGGGGCAGAAGAAGCAGAGGGTGCAGAGGCAGCAGAAGGAGCCGAGGCTGGAGCCCAACCTGAACCTGCTGGAACTGCTGCAATTGCTCCTGCCGCAAATGAGATCGCACCCATTGATGTTGCCGTAGATGTTGCTGTTGAACCTGCTACCGAAGTCTTTGCTTCTGCTGTTCCATTCCTCATCCCTGAGGTACCGGCAGTTGCTGTGGAAATCGACACTACTTTGGTGGGGCCTGATGCCACTGCTGGTGCAGACCAGGTGTTGGTGGCTGATGCTCCTGATGCTGCTCTGCCTGTGCAGTGAGAGAGATGATCACAAGCCCCTCCCCCTAGATCCTAACCAATCAGTCACATCGATGACATTAAGACCACACTTCAATGGTCTAAACATTATAGCACAGGGACTTGGCTAAACTGAGGGGTGTTTAACTGGCTTGCTTCAACAAATTGTTGCACATTCTTGTTGTGTTGTGTGTGAAAATGTTTCCTGGTAGATGACAATTTTGTTATCAACCTCATTGTAAGAATTGAGCCTATACTGCTGCAGACAGCGTTACTTGTTATGTCTTCTCTCTCAGCTTCTTAAAATAAAATGTCTTTTGTCTTACTGCAGTCAAAGGCCTCTTTAATCAACTGAAATGTAACTTTGTAACACTTTGGAAATAATAAAAATGGACAAAACATAGTTTTGTGTGAGGAAACCAATCACTAAAGGCACATACTGTACACACAAACACAGATATTGGGTTTTCATGTTTTATGGGGACATTCCAAAGACGTAATGCTTTTTATACTGGATTTTCTATCCCCTTACCCTAACCCTACACCTAAACCTACCCCTCACACAAAACTGTTCATTTTTAGATTTTCAAAAAAGATAATTCTGTATGATTTCTAAACTTGATTTCTCATGGCGACCGAAAAAAAAAGTCCTCACAAGGTCAAAATTTAGTGGTATTACTGTACTTGTGGGGACATGTGGCCCCCATAACGTAGAGAATACCAGGACCACACACACACACACACAGGTTTGTTTTTATGGTTTATGGGGACTCTCCATAGGCGTAATGGTTTTTATACTGTACAGACCGTATATTCTATTGCCCTACACCAACCCTACCCCTAAACCTACCCCTCACAGCATTTTTAGATTTTCAAAAAAACTCATTCTGAATTATTTATAAGCCTTTTGAATTACGGGGACACTGAAAATGTCCTCATAAATCACCTTCTCGTTGTAATACCTATGTCATACCCATGTTATTATACAAATTTGTGTCCTCATAAACCACATAAACATGCACACACACACACACACACACACACACTTCTTCTGTCAAAGGTACTTGAGCGGAAATGTTCTCTGGTAAATACACAGTACATGTCAATGACTTACACTACATATTTTAATGCAGTTTAATAAACCTTTGACATAAAATGTTAAAACAGATAACAGACCAGCCATGAGACCTGAGTTAAATACCTACATTTCCATCTTCAGAATAGTATGATAGTATAGTGTGCAGTCAATTTTGCTCAGTTAGCTTTCCCAATCCTAGCATTACCAGTCAAATACACACAAACACACACACACACACACACACACACACACACACACACACACACACACACACACACATATCTGCAATTAAGGGCCCTTTTATCATTTGAAATGCAACACTCTGAAAAAAAAATTACAAACTATTCTTTTAGATAAAGAAACCTATCACATTGCACAAAATACATAAAATAGTAGTAGTAGTAGTAATATAAAGGCCTCTGCATTTAAAGCTCTCTTTAATCATTAGAAATTTAACTATGTAACACAAGGACAAAATAAAACAATTATATATATATATATACAATATAATATAATATAATATAATATGAATGTGTATTAGTGGCAATGGTGTATTTTGCTCTCTGTAGGGAGGACAAAAAGAAAAAGGAGAAAAAAGAAAAGAAGGAAAAGAAAGAGTAAGTAGCATACCAAGTATTTCTTATTTAAAATAGTTTGGTTATGAATACTGTTTAAACATTTTGCTGTGTTATATGTTATCCTATAGGAAAAAAGAAAAGAAAGAGAAGAAAGAAAAAAAAGAGAAGAAACAAAAGGATGAAAAAGAAAATGAGAACGAAAAGGAAAAGGAAAAGGAAAAAGAAAAGGAAAAGGAAAAGGAAAAGGAGAAAGAAAAGGAAAAGGAAAAGGAAAAGGAAAAAGAAAAAGAAAAAAAGGAGGGGTTGGTATCAGACTTTTTATCAGTCGTTTCTAACCTGTGATTTTACAAAGTTCAAAGTAATCCTCATTGATTATTTCTCATTTCTCAACTTCATTTTCTCAAGCCCTAAGGAGGTATTTGTGATTAACCCAGCGGGACTCCTGTACTATCAATGGCTGCTTATAATCACAATTCCTGTCATGTACAATTGGACAGCTATAATTGCAAGGTAATAATTGAATGTTCATGTTTTAATAAGATGAGGTTACCAGGAGATGAGAGAAGGATACAAATAGAAGATGTCTCCTTTTTATTAACCTCTGAAGTGTGCTCCCTTACGTCTCCCTTAGTCTCTTACATTCATATTCTCTAATAAATATGATGAAGGTAATACATTCAGCACCATCCCACATGATATGCACATTTTGGTAGCTTGATAAATGGGTGTAATACTTTTGAGAATTTTTATACTGTGTCTCTTTGCATAGAGCCTGCTTTGAGGAGCTGCAGCATGACTATCTCCTGATATGGTTCCCTCTGGACTACACCTCCGACCTGCTTTATTTGGCTGACATGGCCTTCAGAGCACGAACAAGTTAGTCTAACATCAGATAACTATTTAATGAAGCAACAAAGTTTAGCGACGATTTGGGTTATGTTTTCATGCCACCTTTCTTTAACAGGTTACCTGGAACAGGGCTTACTTGTCAAAGACGAAAAGCTCCTTCTTCAGCGGTACAAAGACAGTCTTCAGTTCCGCATTGATGTCATCTCAATGCTACCCACAGACATCTTCTACTTCGTTTTAGGGTTAGACTACCCAGAGATCCGCATAAACAAGTTGCTCCGCCTGAACCGCATGTTTGAGTTCTTCACAATCTCAGAAACCATGACCAACTACCCCAACATCTTCAGAATCTGCACTTTGATCATGTACATCATCATCATCATCCACTGGAACGCATGCCTCTACTTCTCCTTCTCCAAGGCCATTGGGTTCGGATCAGATGCATGGGTGTATCCCTCTCTCACTGAACCCGAGTTCGGAGAGCTGATGCGAAAATATTCCTTCAGCCTCTACTGGTCCACTCTTACCCTCACCACCATCGGAGAGATGCCGTCTCCGGAGCTAGACTCTGAATTCTTCTTTCATGTGGTTGACTTCCTGGTGGGTGTCTTGATCTTTGCCACCATTGTGGGTAACATTGCTACAATGATCTCAAATATGAATGCGGCCCAGGCTCAGTTCCAAGCCAGGATTGACAACATCAAGCAGTACATGCATGCGCGGCATGTCAGCAAAGATCTTGAGATACGTGTCATCAAGTGGTTTGACTACCTGTGGACTAACAAGAAAGCACAAGATGAAAGAGAGGTGTTGAGGTACTTGCCAGACAAGTTACGGGCGGAGATAGGCATGAATGTGCACTTAGATACGCTCATGAAGGTGCGGATCTTTGCCGACTGTGAAGCAGGGCTACTGATCGAGTTGGTGTTGAAGCTTCGCCCTCAGGTCTTCAGTCCCGGTGACTACATCTGTCGCAAGGGCGATATTGGCCGGGAGATGTACATCATAAAGGATGGCAAACTTGCTGTGGTGGCTGACGATGGTGTAACTCAATTTGTCGTCCTTAGCGATGGGAGCTACTTTGGAGAAATCAGCATTCTAAACATTAAGGGCAGCAAGGCTGGAAACCGTAGAACGGCCAACATTCGAAGCATAGGATACTCAGACCTCTTCTGTCTGTCCAAAGATGATCTGATGGAGGCTTTGACGGAATATCCCGATGCCAAGGCTATGCTTGAGGATAAAGGGAGACAGATTCTGCTGAAGGATGGTCTGTTGGAGCTGGACCCTGCGAAACTGAAGCCAGACGAGAGGGACTTGGAGGACCGTGTAAACCGAATATACAACACACTGCAGCTCATGCAGACCAAGCTGAAGAAGCTGCTATCGGATCAGGAGGAGACGCGAAAGGATATCAAACGGCGGATTGCTCAGATAGAGCACATTGCTGGAGAGGTGGTGGAGGATGAAGATGAAGAGGAGGAGAAGGAAAAGAAGGAAGAAACAGAAGAGCCAGAGAAAGAGGAAGGGACAGAGAAAGAGAAGTTAGAAGAAGACAAGGAAAAGACGGAAGAAAAAGAGGAGGAAAAGATGGAGAAAGCGACCGAAGAGGAAAAGAAAGACGGGGAGACATGATAAGACCCTACGAGACTGTTTCATAATAAAACAGAGAATAACTCTGGATAAAAATCTAAACAGTAAATACAGTCAAATTAAAAACAAATGTATTCTTAACTCTTGTTCTTAGTAACACTACTTTGTTTAGCCAATTTGAATTTGTTCATTCACTACATGTTTTGTGCAGCCAATAAATTCTTGTCAAGGCAACTACAGATTTCTTGTCCAGCAAATTATCAATTAACAACACCAGTTTAATTTGTATTTCTTTCTAACATATATTTCTGTTATTTTTACATAAAGTAAACAGAAGTAAAACTAAAAAAAAAAGAAGATATTCTTGCAAATTCAAGACAATACTTACAAAGATGGATGCTTAACATCACCACACAAGTAGGTAACAGTGACAACAATAATAAGTTGTGCTAAGAGAAAAAACAATATGCCAATAACACTATCTGCATAATTTATTCATGTGGCAGTGCATACTGGGATCTTTCAGCCAAATCATTCATTTGTTTTTCAGGCAACTAAGTTAGAACAATGTATTGTTTTGTTGTAGATCTAAAGTAATTCAAAAGAAATTTAGTTCCTTTTTGGTTTTATAAAATTGTTTCTCTGTAATAAAAAATAACAAGGATGCAAATTTTCACACTATATTTACCAATCAACATCCTGACTGACTGACTGAAACAATTAAATGATCACATAATGTTTATACAGACAGACTTGTGAGGTTTTATCAAGTAGTGTGCTTGATGGGCACAGGGGGGCAGCAGAGGACCAAATATTAATGATCCTTTCTTCTTCAAAACCTGAAAATGAGACTATAGACACAATATAAAGTCTTTTGGAATGATGCCTTTATGGAATCACTAGTTTTG